TTATCGTTTAATACCTATTGATTGACCTTGATTCTGTGTTTCTAAACAGGTGGCAAATCTCTTCAAAAATATATACAAATAAATAAATAAATAGAGCATTTTTAAACTTTTTTGATTGACACCTAAATCGTATGTATGTATATTGAAGGTTTCAATTAAATCACTAATTAATTTTTGTTTAATTTTTTGAGCAGGTGGCAACCTTCTTCCATAATATTTTAGAAATGAAGCTTACTGAAACCTTTCTCGATAGACAGCCATATTAAAATTTGTAATACGACTTTTTATGAAGTCCATTTGGAGTTTCTAAAAAGGTGGCAACCCTCTTCAAAAATATTTTCGATATAAAGCTTTCTTAAACTTCTCTCGTTGGATACCTATGTACATGTATAGATAAAATATTTAAACAAAATTGTTAATTACATTGATTCTGAATTTCTAAAAAGGTTGCCACCCCCTTTAAATTTTTTTTCGCAATAGCGCTCTTTTAAACCTCCCCGTTTCATACGCATTTTAAAATATTTGGTTTTAAACTGTTTAATTAATTTGATTTTAACTTTTTGAACAAGTGGCAACCCTCCTCGTTGCAGAACCCTTTTCTTTTGACACCGACATTGTTGTAATATTCTATCTAACTTATTTATTAAATGATTTTAACTTTTAGAAGGGTGGCAACTGTCTTAAAAAAATACCCTATATCTTAATCCAAATACTCTTTTTAGTACGCTTTCAACTTTTTGTTGAATAAAATGTATTATTTTCTTATATTGCAGGCCAATAAGTAAGGTCGTTTCTCCGTACCCTACGTTAGGTCTGGGCCTCGAACAGCATTTCATCAAATAACCAAACAGTAAAGGGTAAGTGTATTTGACTGTACTAGTAGCATACTTTTATGAATTAGCTTTTTAAATTTTTTTTATATAAATGTTCTTAAATGAACTAAATCTTTCGTGGCCAATGCCCGATATTCACAGAGAATGTGTTCTAAAGTGTGCTCGTCTTCAAAGCAGAAGCAACACTATGACTCTAGGGTCACACCAATTCGGCGCATAAAAAAGCGTAATCGGTCGTGGCCGCTTCTTTCTACTGACTGCGTTCCAAGCATGCGGTATAGCCATTTTATAAACATTGAGTTCTGACCCCTTTCTCTAACAATAAGTCCTCTGCAAGCCCACACGGCACGCGTGGCTTCAGCGGGAGTTTTATCAAGCCATGAGCTTCAAATAACCCCATTTTTTAGCGTAATCCCATGATATTTGATCTCTTTAGGGTATTCAAGCTCCTTATAAGAGTGACTGAACCCAGGTTTTTGTTTATGCCTTGTTGTTGAAAATAGCCCTCACTGCCACACCACTTTCAAACTAAACGAAGAAATGCACTCTCAAGTGATGCACACAACCGAGGAACCGAAACTGGAGAACCGGGTCCTTTCGAGATCCAACCGGTCTGGTTCTTACGAGAACCGAGCAGAAACTAGATGCCAAAAGAACCGAAAAACTGTTCTGGAAGAACCGAGCCTCGATTCCAAAAGTACTGAAAAGGGTTCCGAAAGAACCAAAGCTCGATTCCAAAAGAACCGAGAAACTGCTCCGGAAGAACCGAAACTCGATTCCAAAAGAACCGAAACTCGATTCCAAAAGAACCGAAAAACGGCTCCAAAAGAACCGAAAAACGGCTCCAGAAGATTCCAATAAAACCCAAAAACGGTTCCGGAAGAAGAGAAACTCGATTCCAAAAGAACCAAAAAGTGGCTCCAAAAGAACCGGAAAATTACCTCAGAATAACCGAAAAAATAAGTAAAAAAGAACTGAAGAGTCATCGCAAAAGAACCGCACACATCCTGCATAAGCGAAAGTCGCTCACGAAGGGCACATTGGACTATGGGTAAAAAATACTCGGAACCGCACCTCACAAGCACTCTCAACGATCCAGACAGTACTGCCGAATTCTCCTGCGTACCCAACGGCATCGTAACTGGTCGGTCGAATGATTGATTAAGAGGTGGTCTACCACGAAAGATTTAAGCAAGGGAGAAAGGTCTCCTTTGCTGTGGGCAGCCTCTGTTGGCTTTACTCTTCACGCTTGAAACCACTGCGCTCCCTACACATCGCAATTTCGATCTGAAGGATAGACAAACAGGTGCGGTTTTCTTCTTAAAGAGAATGGAGAAGATACCACGTTGTTGATAAGGAAGTTATATCACTTTATAATAGGAAAGCTCGCGTGAGTCACTTCACTCTAAACGCCCATAAATACTAAGTGGGAGTCACTTACAAATGCGCCAATACCCAAACATCCGAGTATTATATATTAACTTGTAAATATTTGTGCAACTATGCCGAAAATGTGCAACATAGCATATATATAGCATGCAGTATTTTCTTTATATTTATTTTGGTTAACTTTGCCGGCTAGTCCCATTCGTTTTTTGGTTGCTGAGGTTAGCGTTGGCTCAGCTACCGCTTTTCTTTTGGCCTGTCCGCTTACCACACGGAGCCAGAAAGAGCGGTGGCCAACCACAGTTTGCAGTTTGAAGTTTGCTGTTTGCATTGCCTGCAGCTTCTTGACTTGGTGACCTAAATATTTTGTTGCTCTGCAGCCAGAACACATCTACTCCCAGTACGCCCATCCAGCAGCAAGCAGTGCGTATTAGCACGCTTTTCTGCAAATATTTTTCATACAAGAAGCCGCCCAACTTTTATCCACCAGTTTAGAAACATACAGATTTCCTCGCCTTTATTCTTGTTTTTTCTTGTCGCTGCTTCTCAACTCTTTTACTTTAATAAAAATATTCTAAGCCAGTTTTGTTATACTCCACTAACTGTTGAGCACATCGACACTACTCTGCATTGCCTGCATGTCTATCAGTCACGTCTCTGTGGTAGCCAGCCGCAACTGGTCCTGACTTCGGCTTCATCGTACGCATTTCCGTTTGAATTTGGGTTGTTACTGTTGACGTTGTCATTAACATTGCATGCAAATGTGTAGCAAAAATCTCTGCCAACTACATTTATTTTTCATTTATTTTTCATGGTTGCCAACTTTTTTTTTTAATTTCCTCCACTTCCAGTGTGTGTACACAACTTTTTGTGTTTGTGTGCGAAAGCGGGTGTCAGTACATCTTTACCCTTGCATCGGCAATCAAGTGGCTGTCAGAGAGTTTTTTCTTCTTGTTGGCAGGACGTCGATTGTGGTCATATACATATGTAAAGAGAAAAAATAATATTTATTTGAGAAAAACAAGTTTAAATTAGTTAATCTAGGGCAATATTTCCATGCGGTAGAGAAAATTGTGCAACTTTTTAAGAGCAGGCTTCCAAAGTTCCCTAAAATTCCAAATGAACTAAACTGGAAAGTAAAAGTACAATTTCTCTATGTTTTCTTGGTCCAGCAGTAGTGCTGCAGCTGTAGTCGTTCCAATTCCCTTGTTAATGATCACTTTTTCGTGCCGTTTTATCATACCTTATGCAAAACTTTCGTAAGGCTTTATATGAAGCACGAACTCTGATCGCTTGAGTCTGGTGTGCTTCATTCTGCATTCGCTACTTGTTAGCTCTGATCGTTGGAGTGAAACTCCTTTGGACTACATTAGAAGACTCGGATGTCCTGCGTTTCGTCGTCAGAGTTTTGCCTCTCCTGTCTTTTCTACGGTCTGTTCGACTTTATTCTTTCGTCCTTCTGACGTTCATTTGAGACTCTGCGAAGCTGCTGGCTAGAAGTTTTGTTTACTGCTTTGAGTTTGCCTTAGAAAACACTGCAGAAATCCGGAAACCGAAAATTTAGATTCAAGAATAGCTCCATCCATGGTCCGTGGCCTTAGAATCAAGAAATAGGTTCAAGACTAGCTCTTTTCCTACTCGCCCCTTATAGTGATCCTTGACAGAAAATAACTCCTCAGAGCGAAAGACGATACTGTATAGCACTTAAAGGTTTGAGGGAGATATTTCCCAATTATGGACTGCCCCAACCTCGTGTTACTTAAGCGGAAAATCTAGCTCCACTGCATTTCTGCTTTAGTTCCCAATATAAGCCTGCATATTGAAAACTAAGTAAAACCTTTAAAGCCATTGCCGGCGTTGAAGTTAAAGCCACTGTGATCATCGTACACGCTTCCCTCAGAACCTTAGTTAGCTGCTTGCTTTTTCTAAGATACGCAACAACTCAGCCTTTCCCAGATTCCAACTTGGCGTATTTCGCATCGAGACTTGAGCTTCTACACGTAAAAAACCAACTGGATCAGGAGATGAAAGTTAATCGCCACGGACAACATCGTTTTTTTGCCCACTGGGCTTCGAAGCATTTGGAGCAGGATCCCAATTTTGGCCGAAAAATTATCTAAAGCGACGGATTATGGCAATATTCTCAAACAATCAGATGAGGTTCACCGGAGGGATTCTCAAAAAGTTACCGTTTGGTGTGGATTTTGGTTACGAGGCGTCGTTAGTCCTTTACTTTTCTGAAAACTGTCAGCGGCAGAAAACCATCTTACTTGGCAGTTCTCTCTTTCGAGAGAACCTCGTCCAATAGTGTGGTTCCCTTTGCCCAATACATTTAATTTCAATACATACCTGGTAGCTTCCTGAACCACAGGTGGTAGTTTCACTAACTTTATACGATGTCGACCAATCGTTATTGCCTCCTGAAATATCTTCGAAGACCGGGTTTTAAATTAAATGGCTAACTCTCCGCTCTTTCCAGCTTCTTCACTACCTATAGAACAATAAATAGGTCCTCGCCGGCTGCATTGGAGGCAAGGACATAGAAGGTTTGACAACCAGGCTTGTCCGATTTGACCCTGGCAGATGTTTCTGTAGGAGGTTTTAAAGTACCGGGTCTTTGGCAATAAGCTGAATTGTACCACTGTGGTCCGCCCCTTAAACAAATTTTTTTTAGAAAGAAAAATATATATATTCGCTTTTTCACCTATTTTTTCTTAACTAATTTAATTTTGTTTTAATTTTTAGATGTTATGCTTTAAAAACAAGAATATTTTTATTTAATAAATATTTTTTTCTTTTTCTGGTTTTATTTTCTTTTAGTTCTTATGTTTTTAACTTGATTTGATTTTTAGAAACGTGTTTTATTTATTTTTTTCTTTTTTGTATGTAATTTGTTTTTCTGTTGGTAATTTTATTTTGTTTTTTAAAATTAAGATTGTATTTTTTATAAAGAAAAATATATGTTTTTGTTTCATTGTTTTTTGCGGATCTTTTTTATCTTTTGTCTTTTAAAAATTTTTGCCTGCACAACTCACCCACACCACCTTGATCTTCAAGCAAGAATTAACTTATGGCATTTGCTAAATACAAATTTTTAGGAAATTAATGAAATTTCGCTAGTGAATCCATAGAAGGGGTAAGCGTTAATCTCAAGGAGAGCTTAAGTGAAACTTTACTGCAGCAATTTTGGCGTTAAACTGCAATGCAGTTGTTTGCTGTGCTCTCCCAGCCGCTACTGTTTTTGTTAGTGTTGCTGTACTTGCAGTTGCAGTTTGTTTACGTCGCATAGCAACAGTAAGTTGGCATTTAATTTTCAGAATTCGACGATTCATTATGCCAAGGCATTGCAAGGCCCTGTGCATGGGTTGGTGTTTATACTGACGCTTTTGGCGCACAAGCAAACTGATAAAAAAATTGAAGAAGTAAATACATACTAACAAAAATACAAATCGTTGCCATCGCGATAATTTGGCTTAGCGCCAATAAGGTTAAGTTAAGTTTGTTTGCGCGAAGGCTGACTGAACTCTGGAGATGGCAATAAATTCACGTAAAGCGATTTGACTAAATTATGTATTTCAATAGGAAGCGGGTGATTATAAGGTGTTTGTTGTTGTTGCCCAACGTAGACGGAGCTAAGG